CCTTTCGCCCTTCATCCTTTCAGCTATCTCATACTGGAGAAATGTGAGGGTGAACGCTTGAGACTCATTCAGATACGTTTATGGGTGTCTATGGGTTCTTTGCTCACTGTTGATATTGATGAACAATCTACTTACACTGCTGCCCTTTATGTAGGAGAAATTGCTTAAGCTGCTCGAGATATGGCGTAGAGTCGCCACCTTCTCTCCTGACGTCCTCGATGATTTCCAGCGGAAGATTGAATCTTCGCCTGACCCGAGTATGTCACCATTCCACCAGACGATCAACAGGCTTCATCGTCCCCATTGTGCAAGTATAGATTCAAGTTTTGCTGACTCCTCTGCCCGTTCAGTTCAGTCCTACACGCCTGAGGGTAGTCCCCCACCAGGCTTGGTCGAGGCCATGGGCTATAGATCCAAACAGACGGCTGCCCCCTCTGCTCAGCCCCGGCCTGCTGATGCCAATAGCATCATCGCCAATCTGGCCAAACTTACACAGTCCGTCCAGAGCCAGCCTCAGACACAGGGCTACGGCCAGCCGCTGAATAGTCAGAGTCAGAGTAACGGACATGGCCAGAACTTCGCCCAGGGTCACAATTACGGCCAGACCCATGGCAATGACCACACTCGAGCTGCTTACGGCCAGCCTCAAGGCAACGTCCAGCCCCCCGCCCCGGCTCAGACTCAGACCCCGGCAGTACCTCAGAACTTGCAAGACTTGCTCTCTAGACTCCAGAGCTCTACTCCACAGCAGCAGCAGCAGCAGCAGCAGCAGCAGCAGCAGCAGCCGCCGCCGCCTCCTGCTCCTCCTGTCAACCAGTTCCAGCAGGCTCCGTACTCCATGCCTCCCTTCCCCGGTGGCCCCACTAACCCAGCGGCTCCGTACGCATATGCCCAAGGCCAGACTCAGGCTCCTCCTGTTGGTCTGCCATTCCCAGGAGCTGGCCCTCAGCCTCCGCAGGGAGTCAACGGTCAGCAGATGGCTCTCATGCAAATGTTTGCCAATTCGGGATTCACCGCGGAGCAAATTGTTGCCGCGCTTGCAGCTGCGAGCAACCAGAATGGCGCCGCTTCTACGGGACCCGCACCCTCGACCACATCTACTCCAGTCCCCATCGCCGCTCAGAACTACTATGGCAGCGGTCAGGGATGGGGCGGTCCTGTTCAGCCCAGTGGCACCAGTGGGGTGTCTCGCTACGAGCGCAACACTGGTGGAGATGGGAGCAGATATCAACGTACATCCCGGTCCAGATCGCCTAGCCGTCGTTGGAACTCTGGCGGTTCTTCTCATGACCGTGACAATGGCTATGACCATGGACATCGCTCCCCGGACCGAGGCCGTCGTGATAGTAGAGACAGTCGCTATGGCAGCGAATACCGCCAGCGTAGCCCTCATGGAAGCCACAGTGCTTCTCACGGTGGCCGTGCTGAATCGCGCCGTGGCTCGGATGCCAAGTGGATTGATTATGACCGTAATCTGAAGCCTGGGCACATCAAGGTTCTGAGCCGCACGCTGTTCGTCGGCGGTGTCAAGTAAGTATATCCGGAAGCATCTCCACTCACCGGAACGTTGACTGACAGCCTCTACAGCCAGTCTGAGCACGAGCTTCGTGCCATCTTTACTCGATTTGGCCAGGTTCAGTCTTGCATCGTTAACAAGGACAAGCGACACGCCTTCGTCAAGATGGTCTCCCGTGAGGATGCCGTTCGTGCCAAGGATGGTATGGAGATGCGTGCCAATGGCAGCGTGCCCCAGAATGACGATGAGTCGCAGCTGAGAGTAAGTCTTCATGACCTCTGTTTACCAATCTTCTCGACTAACACAACCTAGACCCGCTGGGGTGTCGGCTTTGGCCCGCGTGACTGCAGCGACTACCGTACGGGTGTTAGCATCATCCCCATCAGCAAGCTCACCGAGGCAGATCGCAAGTGGATGTTGACTGCCGAGTATGGTGGCAGTGGCGGTAAGCCCATTGACGAGGGCATGGTCGTCGAGGAGCCCGATATCGAGATCGGCAACGGCGTTTCCTCCAAGGCCATTAGTCGCCGCATGCAGACCGACAAGAGCGGCAACCACGGACCTCGTTCCACTCGTGGCGGCGGACGCGAAGAAAGCCGCGAGGACCTCGGTCGCTGGCGCCGTGGCCGCGACCGTGACCACAACCGCCGTGACGACAAGAAGTTCTCTTCGGCCAACTCTCAGCCGCTTCCGCAGCAGTTTCCCTACGGCATTAGTACCTTGCCCAACGGCATGCCCGCGTACCCTCCCGGCTTCGCGTTCCCGGCCGCCAAGGACAATTAAGTTTTCCTCCTCCGCGGCCTCTCGGATCCGTTGACCGTTGTATATGGAAAGGAAAGGGGGGTTATACTTTATTTGCTTCTGCATTTCGACGTCCCTTTGGACCCTCGCGAGCTTTGGCTTTTGGCCTGCGATAATCATGGATGTGTGCATTGGGCCGGCGTTCACATGGGGTAGGAAGGAGGGCAAGGATATTAAGGAGGGAAAGGAAATACCCACACCAAAAGTAACTGAGCTCGTTTGGAGAGGAAAGGGGGTGGATCAGGACTTCGATTTTTTCGATACCCGCACACTATGATGCCTATCGTAGTTCTTGCTGGCTTTTGGGCTTCAAGGGTTTGGTAAACTGATTCTTGGTTGTAGGGTGACTTTCACTCGAACCTCCATCTGTAACTTAGGAAAAGAAAAGACTATTTGAGTCTGCATCTAGTTCCCTGAAACTTGGTGATGTTGTGGGTGATCTGGACACTGTGGTAGTCCGCAAAGAGCACCGTCGCCCAAATTACTCTTATAGCTACATCGGCCATTCGAATGGTAACGAGGAAGGCTGCTCTCCCACTTGACTTGACCGTCAGATTTGACACTGAAAGAAGTGAGAGCTTGGAGTATTAGAATCCATAAACGGCCCATGTTCGAACCATTGGGTTACGGAATGATATAAAGAAGGAAACTCGTGACAGTATCTTAAGCTGGGGAAGAATGAGGCTAGCTAGTCAGGTCTCCTACCGCCTTCCGATGACAACTGCATTTCGAATGTTCTGACAGCACCGTGCCTTCCCTCCTTATTGACCGTACCTTCCATACGCGACGTACCGCCAGGAAGAAGGCTATATACCCCCCCTCAATCCCATTCTCGTCACCACAACCAGCAGGCGCCCGTCTAGGCCGACGGGTCAGGTCCAACTGGGATGGGTGGGGGAGTGGTATATGGTCAACAATTCCCAGCATGCGCACCAAGAGATGTAGCCCCCAGTTCAGCACCGGGGGGGTGAACTCTTTTTTTTTCTCTTTTTATATCTCTTGGAGAGTGAGTGTAGGATAAAGACATTCTCCTTGGTGTTATTATTGCCGGCCAGTCTTCCTAGCCCGCTTAGGGGGGGGACCTATGTTTCCTTGGCTCCTGCTTTGAGATCCGAAGTACTAGAGGAGTTTAGTATTTAACCGGCGCCATCGCTCCAAGGGTAGTAAGTTCTGCAATTGTCGAGTTCTTGTTCAACGTATGACTACATCTGCCTCGATCTTGAGGACATGAGCGTTTCTGCCCGACACAAAAGCATGGCTAAGGAATACCATATACACACTCTCATATATCACGAGGTTACCAGTCAGCTCAAGCCGGTTCCCTCTCATAACATTCCGCCGGCCCTTTCATATTCATTATAGATCATGCAACGCGAGGTAAAGCGTGATTGTTAGAGAAAATAGACCGCGCTTAGTTAGATGGATACGATCGATCCTCCAAGACTTAGGAAAAATTCCTAATAACACACACACACACACACGCACACACATACCCCATGGCTGTTGACACCTGGGTTTATGGCCGCCGTGTGCTGATAGGAGGCCACGCGATGCCTTGCCCTGTTTAGACAACGAGGAGGTCTAGAGGAGGCATTATGTAGGTAGGGAAGGAGACAATGTCAATGAAAGCCTTGTTCTCATCCTGGTCGGGCTGAGATGGAGCTAATTAGGGAGGGAGGGAAGGCTCCTCGGTGTTGTCGTTACCGCCTCTCCCTGATCCGCTGGGGGGAATCATCTCGAAACATCACCCCTTTGTCCCTGCCTTGTATTTTGACGTCCTGTATTGGGGAGGTATTTAAGCAGCGCTATTGTTCTAGAGATGATAGGAGTCTGCAGCGACTTGTACCTCCTCGGTCCACGACAATGTAAGGCCTCAGTGAAGTTGACGACGACCTGATGCACTGAGACAAAAAGGATGGTCAAAGAAATCTTTGATGCGTTCCCAACGTCGCAAGTTAGCTGAAGTGCCAGTACCTTCTCTTGTCGCACCCATTCCGTCGCTGCCTTCGTATTCGTGACAGAATTAACCATGCGACGGGAACATGAGAGGGAGCAGGGAGTGTATGAGAATAAGGACAAAGGGCTTCCCTAAACAGCACACCTCTCGAGCGTTCGTCAAGGAGTGTAGTGTACATAGGCACCATAACTTCATGCAAGTCCTTCAGATGACCATGACGGTCATTCTGGCCCTGTTGGGCACACTGGTCGTTGTGGAAGTGATTCCTGCTTATCGTTGGTCCTTATGATTTCTCAATGTTCAGCTTCAAGAATACCTATAAGGCAAGAACAAGAGAAGTATATATTAAGGTCAATACCTCCTGCCGTGTGAGTATTGATAGAGAACAAGGCACTTGAAGCTTTACTTGAGACCAAGCGACATGGTACCGCCTTATTATGCCCTTTTACAAATGTCATAACGGCGCCCTTTCTTCGGAACTAAGGTGCCGCGTTATTACCTTGTCCTTAGAGGCCGTCTATAAAATACTTCTTAAACCAAGCCTTGACGATACTGAGTCTTGCTGGATTATTAAAGTACTATAGAACTGGTTAGTCTCAATGAAATGGTAGGTATAAATGATAAAGAGAAAAAAAGCCCCTAAGCTTAAGGGAAGGGCTAAGTAGCAGCCTTGTTATCAAGATAGAATCAAGAAGCTAATATTTCACTTTATTTATAGAACCTCAGTTTAATGTCGTAAGTCTTGGTATTCATCTAACAGAATTATTTACATCCTCTCAGCTTATAAAAGCCATCAGCTAGGTGAGCTCGTGTCTGATAAAGGCAACATCGGCCTTCTAAACTCATAAAGACCATAAGCTAAACAAGCTTGTATCCGATAAGGGCAATATCAGCCCTTTCAGCTTATAGAGGCCATAAGCTAACCAAGCTTATATCGAGGAAATGCAATATCAGCCCTTCTTTAAAGTGTTTCCGCTTCTTCCGAAAGCGTAGCCCAAATGCTCTTTTCGAGGTCCCCTTCCTCGTATTCGTAATCCCAGCCCTCATCATAAATAGGATCGTCGATATTCACCTGATCCATGAGCAAATCAAGCTTCGTTATCTCGTCAAGCCCCTGCAGATCCAAGTCCCTCGCCACGTTCCCCGCATGCCGACGCTCGAGCGCCACGGAGCCCACGTCGGTCAGCGGCCGGAGACGGGCGAGCCTTAGCGACCTGCGGCGGAACATCTTTTGGTTCTCCTGTTGAATCTCTTCGACTTTGGCTAGTAAGGGCTGGGATGCGTCGCCCTCAAAGTGCGATTTGGGACAGTGCAGGCCGAGCGTGGAATATGCCGGCCCCTGGATGACGCCGACGGTGGCGTCTGGGTGACGGATGAGCTGGCCAGAAGAGAGCATGCTTCGTCCTCTTTCCACGCCCGTCTTGGGTTCTTGGTTTTGCTCCTGATTCTGATTGTGCGGTGCCGGAGGATCGGCGTGCTCGATGACGGGAATCGGACGGCGCACGGGACGACGAGGTCGCATACCCGGCGGCATCGGGGGTAGGACGAACTTGGCTGGGGGCTCGTCCTCCTTGTTCAGCGAGAGGAGCATCACCCGGCCACTAGCGTCTCCGATAGCAAGCCTCGAGTAGCATGGAGAAAAGGCTCCGCACGCTATGGCTCCAGGAGCTTCCAAGAGGTCCCGGACTAGGGGCTGCGGCAAGTTGCGTACGTTCCACACCTTGACTACTCCGTCTGATCCGCCTGTATAGAAGCGGTCCGCAGTGGTGCCCCACGCCGTGAACTTGACCCCCACGTCCACTTCGTCTCGATTTCCCAAGAGTTCGTCAATCGGCTTCTTATGCCGGAGAGCGTGGATAGGCTTGTCACCTCGCGAGGTATCCCAGACGTAGACCTTTCCATCGGTGCAAGCCGCAGTCACGTATGAGCAGAGGACGCTATTGGGCTTGATCGTGAGCTCGTTGATATCCTTGGCCGGGCAGTCCAGGCACTGCATCTCACCAAAGGCAGTATCGCCTTCAGGTATCAAGCTAGGGCGGAAGACCCGAATCTGCGTCAGAGTCTGGTCGTCGACCATCAACCCGGCAGGCGATGTCGCCACGATGAAGCTCGGTAGGGTGGGATGCCAAACCACCTCAAAGACGTTTTGTGTAGATGCCGTCAAGACCTTGATCTTTTCGCCCGTGAGGCAGTTCCAAAGACAGATCTCGCCGGTGCTTAGCTTCTCATCAGGAATGTCGTTATCGTCCCCAGTGAGACTGCGGGGAGAGTAGCCAACGAGGAGCAAGTGTTGCACGCCTTCAGCTAAGCCCCATTGCATCGTTGCTGGGAAGTAAGCCCATTTCTGGGTCGCTGTCGTCTCCTCGTTCCCTTCATCCCACGCTCTGGAGCCTGTGAATATGTGATAAGGGCTCTGAGATACGTTGTCGTTGTTAACGCGGTAGACTCGGACAGCCTGGGTGGACACATCAGCGGCAGTCGCCACCATGCCGGATTCATGCTTAGAGACAGCCACGAAGTTGACGTTGCCCGCGTGTGCCCAGGTGCCCAAAGCCTCCATGTTTGCTCCTCTGTCGTCGAACTTCCACACCTTGACAGTCTTGTCGAAACTTGACGTGTAGGCACGGTTGTTGGTGCGATCGTAGTCAGAAGACACGACGGATGAGTAGAGCCACGGGCTCTGACTTTCTCTCATAGCCTCTGTGGAGTTCTCGCCCTTCTCGACAATTGGTCGAGGGATTCGGTGGTCCGGATACGCCTGAAGCTGGCCCAATGTCGTAGAGCAAAGCAAAAGGTTGCCAGCCTTGTTGTATTGCTGGTTGTGCGAATCGGAATGAGCCGTGGCACCGCAGATGAAGTTGGTATCTGAGGTCCACACAATCGTCATAATGTCACCAGCGCAGCCCACCCACTCTGCCCGCATCTCCATATCATCTTCATGAGCCTTCCTAAACTCATTGGTGAAGTTGACGTGGCGACGCATCCGGCCAAACCCTCTGTTGCCATCGATTTCTCGCGCCAACAGGAGCGCAGAGATCTGACTGGTACGCTGTGCCTCGCCCTGCTTGTCGGACTCGTCCACCTCCAACGTCAGCACCTTTGGATGCCGGGCCGGGTTTTTATGCCGATTCGCCAACTCGTCGAGAAAGTTCCGAATCGCAACGCGGTCTCGCTGCGCAAGCGTTCCCTTGAGCTCAATCATGGGCGGTATAGCCGTGAGCAAGTCGGGCCGCTTCCTCAGCATCTTGCCCAGCTCTCTGTCCGTATCGTTTCTCCGCTTACGCTTGACCTTCTTATCGCACATGGCCCGCACTATTCTCCGTACGTCGTCCATCTCGTCTGGCGTAAAGTCGACGTGGAAGGGCAGTGAGCCCAGCGCTGCCGCCGCTGGTACGTTTCGGACAAGCTTGGATGTGCCGCGAAGAATTGTCTGACGCTCTTCCGTTGTGGTGTACGGCCGCCGCGCCATCGTCATCCAGGCTACTTTGGCCTTGTGGCCTGGAGTAGCCGCCGCTTTGGCTTGTGAGTCGTGTGCCTTCCATGACTTGAAGGACCTGGCTTGCGCCCTCGTTCTGTAGTTCGTTGACGAAACGGCGACGGTCGGGGGTTCTATGGCTGGAGCTTGAGGCTCTGAGTCGGGTTCTTGCTCGGGTACTAGCTGAAGCCCTTGTTCGGGCACCGGCTGAGGCTCTCGTCGAGGCTTCGGTGGAGGCTTCGGTTTAGCCTGTTTCTTCGCCGGCCGCGGCCCCGGTCTCGCTGGGGCCGTCGAAGGACCTTGGGCAGCAAGCCTTGACCCGCGATATCCGTCCGGGTGGAGGGGCACCGGAATACCACTAAAGATAGCAGGATTGAACTTGAAATTCCGACCGCGCGGCGCGGGTGTATAGGCAGGCGGAGGCGGAGGAGGAGGACTAGTAGGAGTAGGAGGGTTCGGCTGTTTCCTGAATTTCTGAGACATAAGTCAGTACTACACTCGCGTATAGCCGTCCTGAGGCGGTGCGTAGGTACGTGTAAAAAGGTCAGTCCTTACCTCGTGATTGTCGCAATAGTCTTTAATACAAAAACGCGCGATGAAGACTAGCTCGTTGACTGCACTTTGGGTCAGACGGCCATCGTTGATGTCGATTATTTCGTCTTCTATAGCGACACGGTACACTTCCTTGATCACCTGTAGCCTTGGTGTTAGATAGTGCACTTTCGAGGGCGAAGGGTGAGGATACGAGAGAGGAGAGGGGAACAGAGAGAGAGCGTTCTACTTACCGTTCGAGCGATCTCTGCGACCTTGAACTTTTCCGTCGGAAGTTCGAGCAGCGCCTGAGTGATGAATGGCCTGACCTGCTTATTCAGGTACTCGGTGTACATCTCTGGGTCACCACCATTCGGGTCGACAGGACACTTGGGGCCATAGTCTATTCGAAACCTCTTTCGAGGCGGTTTGGTCTCTGGAAGCCGTGAGCTGGAGGCTGGGGGAGTCTTGTCGTCGCCATCGTCGTCGTCGTCGAGAGTCAGGTCAATGATGTCGGCGGTCCTCTTCGGGGCTGCTGTTGAATCGATCGACGGCGTAGCAGTTGTTGTATCCCTCGGAGTCGCAAACATTATTGCGATCCTGAGAACGGCGACGCGTGGTCGTCGTCCAGCCAAAATTCGGTCAGCGCGCGCGTAGAGGTTCGTAGACGCGTAAACCGGCAGTTCGTCAAGTCGCAGTTAATTAGGATAAAGGTAGCTATAACTGGAGTCAACAGAGGCGGGTCAAGTGGAAGTAGCAAGAAAAGTGGACCCATGCACCTTCTCGATGCTCGCAAGGGTCTAAAACAGTCTTATGTAAGAAAAACATTCTTTTCTTAAAATCTAATAATTTTAGAACTTTTAAAAATAGATTTTCTTTTTAATTACTAAACTTTCAAATATTTTTTTCGAAGAAAAAAGTCTAATTATTTTACAGCGAAATATTAAATCAGTGTTTATTAATAGCTTTAAAGATTGTCCTAGCTGGATAGTAAGTAGTCAAAGGATTGTTCAACATCAAAGAGATGGTTTAAATGTTCGAATACATCGTGTTCAGCTATCAAAACGCCTTACAAGGATCAAAGAAGATGTAAGCATTTGCGACGGCCCATTGAGCTGATTAGGTAACGAGAACCTCGGCAAAACAGCCCAGTTCCTTCCAGAAACCATCAAAAGGTCCAGAAACATAATCTACAACAAGTAATCCAAAGATTAATCATTGCGTAGCTTGTCATACGAGTAGAAAAAACTTGAAATCAAAACATACTCGGCGCTGTCTTGCGCTCACATGTCGTGTCCCCCCAGCAGCCATCGCGTCCATAGAGCGTAAACGTCAAGCACTGAAGCTTAAATGCGCCAGTACAAGAACGGTCCACTCGAATGGCCTTAGAAGGACGTTGAATCAAATAGCCGCCCCCCCCCCCCCCCCAATGCCGTCGTGTCGCACGTCGGACCGGAGCGCCGCCATTGGCTTCGGAGGTTATCGGCCCCGCAGGTGCCTGATGCGCAGTTCACGCCGGCCGCTCGCTCATGTAGCAGGCGCTATGCGCGCACTTTGCAGATCAAAGTCCGAAAAGGCACATGTCGAATTTCAGAAATGCTCGGTGTACGGATGTTGGGGAGACCATGTATGTACTAGGAAGATGTCATTAATAAACGGAAAGATTTATAGCAGCATGAAAACAAATCTTCTTCATCTGGCGCTATAAAGCAAAATATGCATTAAAGCAGTACACAAGTAGTCAATTAATATCAAACCATGTCTTTTGAAATAGCCTTCACTAAAGTAGGAATACGGGATTTTTTTTCTTTCAAAAATATTGGACGTAAACTCTAGAAAGCTAATAGATCATCTTATATGGTACAGCATTGCCCGCCTATATATGACACGACATCATCCAACGCCAATCCTCTACATAAAAAGACCTTCTAAAGCTTGGCCTTGGTCGACGGCTCCGCGTTGACCTCTTCATACATCTGATCGATCTGCGCCCTGAACGCCTTTGCGGCTTGCGGTCTCTTCATCTTAAGACTGTTTGTACTTTGGTTAGCAGGTGTCCATGTCTAGTGTCAATAGCTTCCACTTACGTAGGTGTCAACAGTTCGTTCTCGATGCTGAAGGGGTCGATGGTGAGGTAGACACTGCGCACACGCTCGTAGCTGTTGAACTTGTGTTTCTTGCCAATTCTGTCAAGCTCTGCAAGCAGAGCCTTCCTGACCCTGTTGTCGGCGCCAGCTGCCTTGATTGCTGCAATGTCGGTCTTGTCGATGGTCTTCTTCAAGATCTTGCTTGCGAATGGTGCAAAGTTCTCAGGGTCGACACCAAAGACAGCAACGAGCGCTGACTGAGACGGGTCACCGTGGACGTATGCCATGGCCAGCAGACTGCAGCTACCCAAGTAGACGTTCTCGATACGCTCAGGGGAGATGTACTCTCCTTGCGACAGCTTGAGCACGTTCTTCTTGCGATCGACGATCTTGAAGCGACCCATGTTGTCGACCTCGGCAATATCTCCAGTGTGGAACCAACCGTCTGCGTCGAGGGCCTTGCTCGTCTCCTCCTCGTTCTTGTAGTACTCCTTGAAGATACTGGGACCACGAAGGAGGATCTCACCACGGGGGTAGGGCTTGTCTGTGACGAAGTAGTCAAAGTCGGGAACCGACTCCAAGCAGACCTCGTTGCAAGAAGCTGGCGGTCCGATGTTGCCCAGGGTGAAGTCACCCTTCAGCTGAACGGTCGAGACGGCGTACGTCTCCGTCAGGCCGTATCCCTGCACAAAGTGGTTGCCGAAAGCCGCGCGCAAGAACTCGTGAACATCGGGGTCCAACTGAGCGCTACCGCTGATCATGCTGTGCGCCTTCTTGAGGCCGACAGCAGCACGAACCTTGGGGGTCCAGATTCTGTCGTACAAGAAGTGAGAGTTGCTTGCCTTACCAACGGGTTGCTTCATGTTGGCCTTCTTGGTGCTGACAACCTGGCGGGACAGGGACCCCTTGACACCATCTGCCTCGATGGTGGCGGTTCGGATGGCCGAGTTGAAGCGGTTGTACAGACGGGGAACAGACATGAACCCTGTGGGTTCGAGAATCTTCATGTCGTCTACCAGTCCAACGATATCGCCACGGAAGAAACCAATGCAAGCGCCTTCTGCCAGAGCAGTCTGGTCAACCATTCTTCCGTAAATGTGAGCGAGGGGTAGGTAAGAGATGTGCACGTCCTTGTAGGTAACGGTGCCGGCGGATCTCGCGGCGGTGAGGCCTGCAACGGCGTTGCCGTGGGTCAGGACGACACCCTTGGGCATACCGGTAGTTCCAGAAGTGTAGTTGATGGTGACGTAGTCGGTCGAGCGTGGGGGGCGCATGGGACGACCAGACTTGAGACCCAGCTCCTCGAGGTTTGCCATGGAGTAGATCTGGATGCCATTCTGGGCAGCGATGCCGTTCAGAACGGACAGCTTGGAGTAGCCAGCCTGCTCGCCGTCGTCCAGAGAGTCAAGGCACACAATGAGCTTGAGTGATGGGAGGCGCGGGGCAAGCTTCAGCAGGACGGGGATGTGCGGCAGCGAGGTAGCTACGCAAGCCAAGCTGGCGTGGTTAATGATGTATTCGGTCGTGTCGGGGCCGAGGGTCTCGTAGAGAGAGACGGTGAAGAGAGATTGGGATGCAGCACCGAGATCTGGTTACTTCGAGTCAGTATGCAGTTTGCGCCTCGTGCTTGGCATGTGACGGCCAACGTACCAGCAATGTGCCACTCAGGGCGGTTTTGCGACCACAAACCGACACCGTAGTTGTCGCTGGTGATGCCAATCTTTTGGTGAATCTCAATCAGACCGGCGCCGAAGTTCTTGCGACGCTCGGCAACCTCGGCATAGGTAGCCCAGGTGTACTTGTTCTCCCAGTCCTTGGCTGCCGGGTTCCATGCTCGGTGGCCCAAGCACTTGGCGTTCGGGCGCTTCTTGGAGGACTCCTCAAACAGGTCGTGAACGGTCTGGACGGCGGGATCAAAAGTGGACAGCAGAGGGCCGTCGCGGAAGCGCCAGTGACGATAGATGGCACTGCGGCCTTCCTTCTCGGAGCCTGGGATGGGGACTCCATAGGGCGAGCCAGGAGGCGGCGGGTTGGCCAGCTCCTGTATGTATGCGGCGGTGTCTTTTGTGGGAGCCATTTTCGAAGCGACAGCGGGAATCTGTGGGGGAGTGCTGGCAGCCGAGGACTGTTGGTTGCGTTGCTGACGAACGATCTACCTCGATCTCAATGCCAATTCGTTGGGGCGGTGACAGTGCAGCAGGATGTGGCGCAAAGAAACGAGACTTGACACTGGAAGCCTGGAGGCGAGATGTAGGCAGGAGATGTACGGGAGGGTAGAGATGAAGATGGTTGGAAGGTGTCGAGACGAAAACGTTTGGAGAGAAAAGAAAGAAAAAAAAAAAAAGATGAAATAAACAGAAGTAATCCGTCTGAGAAGGGATTTAGGACAAACGAGGGGGCACCTGTCTTGTTCAAGGTTTGCGTCTGCAAGAGTCGAGTCGAGTCGAGCCAGGTGCGCGTCGTACCTTAGCTACTTCGTACGGGGGGGGGGGGGGGATTCGGTTGTCGCTGCTTGGCCTCCAAGTGAGAAGGTGCAGGAAACGGAGAGACGATCCAATGAGCGAGGCCGAGTTTGGGAGCGTAGGCCGAGGCACAAGTGCCCAGAAGAGCGAATGGTGCCACTCCAAGGTCTCAAGGTCCTCGGCAACCCCAGATGGTGAGTGCGCTAAGGGGTGAACTACAGCTGTAAAAGGGCGTTGATAGGCTCTAGGGGGACCCGCCATGGGGGCACTGGACGCAATGGCTTGCGGGGGCGCTGGGGGGCTGGCGGTGGAGGGAGTGGGAGCTGAAGCTGGGGGTTCTGGGTCGGAGATTCGCAAATAATGGGGAAAGATACCCCGTGGTTTCCGTCATGACCTCACCGTGAAGTGTCCACGTGGAGAAATGCATCTGCTGTTGGCCGTGTGGCTGCAGCTCGTAGGTGACATTTTGCTAGGTAGTGTACTGTCTATGTACTCGGCCTTGGGAAACCCGAATCAACATGTGAGTTACACCAGGCCAGCCTCGAAGTTGCGATATACCACATTCCCGCAGTTCAGGAGCTCAAAAGCTGTAGTGACATGTTAGCGGGGTTATGCATATGGGGGAGGCTTAATTTCCCAGCAAACGGGGATCAGTCATTCATCCACTCTTTACAGGTAGATCCCCGACAGCGGAGCTCTCGTCCGTCACTTCCCCTGAGCCTTGAATACTATTTGAATACTAATCGAAATCCCCTCCTTTGAAATGGAATACCATGAGAACTAAACATTGTCTTCCATCACGAATATGAAGGTTCCTATTTTTCTATGCCTCAATGTCAACTATATCAGCTCATAGTGCGTACTGTCAATTGATGCACACACTGGAGACACAGCCAGCCAGCCTGTGAACGAGACTGACAAGCCCAATCTGTCACATGCCAGAGCTGGACTCTTAGGTCCGGGCGCAGGACTTTATGTCTTACTCCGGACGGAGGTCATTGGGCACCCGTACCCGAAAGGGCCGAACAAGTCCGGGTCCCACCTGCTTAGGTACGAGAGTCCGCCCGCCTTGAGCCGCATCAGCGGACGGTCGAAGCCGTACGAGTAAATGCCGAAGTTCTGCCAGCTTTCTCTACCTTAGGTGCGCCCAGTTCCTATTGGGCGGGCAGCGGAGGGTGAATTCCGAGGGACTTGCAACCGGGCTGACTAAAGTGTCCGAGATCTTGCCAACACTTAGCTGGCTACGTCTCGCTTTGCCTTTTCTCATTTCATTGTTGAAAGATTCTTTTGGGATTGATATGTGACGAAAAGATGCAAAATCTGGTAGACGGCGGGAGTGGATGGTAAAGGCGCAAGTGCCTATTCTTGTACGTCGCCAGCTGTCTCTCTAGGCCAGTGTGGCCAAGAAAGCAACGAAGCGCAAGGTACCTAAGGTAGTGTGCGTTGCAAGATTATGGCACTCAAGTGTCATGATGCTGCCCCAGGGTCACTTCCGCAAGATCAGCGTAGCCTTGGAATGGTATTTCCGGCTGACAACTGAATGACAGACATCAGCTGCGGGTACGAATATGCCTACGACAGCTTTGACGTGTCAATTGTAAGAAGACGCTGGTGATACAGAAAACGGCTCTGGCGGAACTAGAGAAACACAAAACAAGTGTCTGCGTTTTGGATCACGTCCGATCAGTGTGTGCTCGGGTACCGACTGCATGCCTCAGCAGCACAAGTCCTGGGATGACTCGTACGGCTTCGGGATGACACGGCGTAGGCCAGCTGTTCTTTTCAGACTACCCTTTCTGAGAGTCTCGGAAATACGACAGAGAGTCAGGGTCCCGTGACAAAGAGGGGAAGACGTGGCCAGAAAGCATCGAGGGTAGGCTGGTGTTGTTGGCTGGTCCGGACCAAGTCGCCGGGGTATGAGCTCCGTGGAAGTTTTTCGTTTCTTCGCATACTAATGCGCTTCTGCCAATATTGAAACGAGAGATCCAGATAAAGTAGGCGAGTCGGCTGCAAAACCCATAGGAGGGAATTCAGCAATGTTCTTCTAGTTAGTTGGACTACTACGGCACGGTCCTGAGCAGCTCAGACTCGAGAAATTTTCTTTCATGCGGCAAAGAGTAAGGTAAATTTGGCGCAGATGTAGTGATCAGGCGAATTCCAGATGCGCTGCCAAGAAGTTGGGTGCTGCGTTGAGGCTCTACGAGTGGCAGAAATGGGCTCTCCGATGGCGGCCAAGAGTCTGGAGAGCGTCCGATCCAGTGCCAATATTATGGGGGAACCCCATAGAGTCGGCACCAAGGGTGCAGGATGAGCGGATGGTTTCGATGCCCAGCAAATCCAAGCCTTTCTGACATGATGTCGGGCGAGGCGAAGCTTTGATAGAGTAGCAGTTTCGAGGCTGGCCAAGTCGGCAGAGGCAGCCGCTGTTGCACCGTTGCAGCGAGTCGTGAGACAGATTGGGGCCCTTGAGGGTGGAGGGGGCGGAATGGAGAGAAAGACTGCGCAAAGGCCCTGCAGAAGTCTGGAAGAGGGAAGATGTGTCAGCAGGAAGCAGCAAGGGAAGAGGGAATGCCAAGAAGTGTGAAGAATCTGTCGAGGGAGAATCCTTGGCAATCTGAGTATCGGACTGAGTCTGGGAGCAGGTTGTGCGGCGTCTCAGCAGCTTTTTTAAGAACAGCAAAGTGTGGTTGCGGAGTGTGCAAGGTGGAACAGAGAGGACGACAGAAGCGACGACGACGACTTTGGGGCCTGCATTGGCCTGCATTCGCCTGCATGTCCCCGGTTTCCCGCATCGGTAGGTGACGGGAGGCCCCTGCAAGTGATACGTGAAGCCAAGATTTCCTCCCCCAGGTGGCGCCTGTACGTAAGGTAACTTGTAAGGTAGTCTGGTAGGTTACTAGGTATGGCATCTCGCTGCTGTTTCGAATGCCCTTAGAGAGAAACTCGGGCGGCACCCTTGGCGTTGTAACGTCCGCCGTACTGTTTCTGTTGTAGATCTTCCATGGCGCTTGGCTTGTAAAACGTCCATGTTCCCTCTCCTGAGGCCTTAGTCCTGACTGTCTAACTGCGTCAAGTGCTTCAAAGTTCAGAAAGAGGCCCTGCCGGTCTTTACTAAGCACAACCGATGGGAGGCTCTCTTCGCGGCAAGAGACTTCCATCCCTCTTGGCTCTTTCCCTGTCCGCTAACCCCCCCAGATAGACTTGACATGGGAGGGGGGGGGGGGGGGGGGGGGCTTCCATTTTGGCAATGGCAACCCACAACCCGCCCGCTAAATGGGAATCGTGAGGGTCTCGAAGGAAGCAGGAACGGGGTGGACCTGGTAGCGAGGAAACAAGATACGTTCGGACATTTTTTTTCTGCAGTTTACGAGTCCCATCTTCATTCCCTTTGCGGTTCTCACCACGTTCATCGTCTTCACCATCCCTACCTAGTCTCTGGTCGCGTCGCAGCGAAGCCAAGCTCCAAATCCCGTCCACTCTTCCATTCCCATAACCTAGGTACTCTTCTCGCTACGTTTTGTCAGTCTACTCTGGTCCCAATTTGTTTCAACACCCACAACACGAGATGGCCCGTCGTCGAAAGTTCGGTGACACATGCTGGGCCCTGGGCGAATCATGCTTGGCATCTTGAGACTCGCTGCTCTTCAGCCTCAAACCCTCCGAGTCCTGAGCCTTTGGCCTGCAGACTCGCGCATCTGCACCAGCCTGCCATTCATGATTGGACTAGTCCCGCAGACACACTACATCCCGTCGCGCTGTGTTTCTCAATCTGAAGATGTCGCTTCAGCCTTTCTTTCACCTCAAGTCTGCCAAACCCACCCACACCTGTCGCCATCAGGGCTGGCCTACCTAATGAGGTCGAGTGAGGCAAGGCTATGGTTTGTCTCTGCTGGCAGTTCGCATCGCTGCAGCAATGCAACGTTAATTTGGCTTCCAGACTTCCAAGCCTATACACAGTACCTCAATATCGCCGTTCCTGCATGACGAGGCTCTCTCTCTTGGGCTCTTACTCACGTTCAGAGTTGTAAAGAGCATTGCCGCCCGCTGGCGTCGTATCGCTGATCAAGCTCCGCCCATGGAACCCAGTTCACGTCTTGTCGTCCGACAAATGCGTGTGCGCGTCTCCATCAAGAACCACTCATTGTATTCGTCGGCCCCTCCTTCGATGTAAGCCTGCCACGAGGCCAGCGGCAGAGAAGGCACAGAGACAACGAAGTTACAACGTAGCCAACACCCCAGGCCGTCCAACCAAACGCAACAACTCTACGGAGTACCTTGCTGCGTTACCTGCCAGCGCCAAGCCGTGGGCCGGCATGAAGAGGAGGCTCTGTTGATCTTGTGCTGGGATTGGTCCATGTGGATTTCTGGGGCCCTGCTACACACCATCTTCTTGTCTGGATAGCGCATGGCGACGGCCCAGGGGAGCCCCGTTTCAGATGCATTTCAGAGGTCTCAGGCCGTGCATTGCCCAGCACCAACCCGACCCATGGGTGTCCAGTGATGACTAGAGCCGCGACTACATGTTCCGCCTCTCAAACACTCAGACAGGGAGAGATGGGACTGCCCAGCCCATACAAAAGCATAAGTGATTTCCCCTCTTTCATGCTGTGCTGCCTCTTCTTGGACCTTTTCCCGCTCGACCGTTTCCACCCTTTTCTTCTCGTCAAACTTCCTTCTTCACTTCTCAACAGCGCACTGGGGGCAGCTTAGACTTATTTACCATACAATTTTTCTCTTCTTACTCTCCTCTCCCTTCTCCTGTCGAAACGAATCTCACGAATCTACTTTCACGAAACGATCACGAAAATCGACAAGATGGGTCTTATTCTTCCTCTCCGAATTGTCCAGGGTGTTCTGGCGTTGGTGATCCTGGGTCTCTCGGGCTTTAGTATGTGATTTGGGATCTTTGGAACTTGGTCACCTATGATGGTGGCCAGGGTTGAACAGAATCGTGCGCTGACTGTTTGCTTGCAGTCGCCAACTGGTACAACATGGACACGATGACTTCGTCTCCGTCCCAGATCAACTTCTTGGTCTTCGTACCGCTCTGGTCTTTCATCTCGATTGCCTACCTCGAGCTTGTGCCCAAGTTCGCTCCTAGAGGTGAGTCTTCCCCATCTTCATGTTGGAGAGTCTTGAGTGAGCCAAGTCAACTAACACGACAATAGCTTCCCACCCCTGGGGTGCCGTTGCCTTTGAGCTCCTCAACGTTATCTTCTACTTCGCCGGCTTCATTGCCCTCGCCGTCTTCCTCGGCAAGCTTCTCTTCTGCCGTGGCACCGTGTGCGCCGCTGCCCGTGCCGACACCGTCTTGGCCGCTCTCGAGTTCTCCCTCTGGGCCGGCACCTCCCTCCTCATGGTCAAGGATGTTTTCAAGACGGGGTTCCGCAAGTCCAGCGCCGCTGGCCCCCCTCCTCAAATGAAGGAGTCTGCGTAAGCTACGCCGACTCTTTCAAGTCATTCCACGTCGCCCTCGAGGAGCGCAGACGTGAGGCATCCGTGGAGCTGATTAGAGCCAAGCGGATGCCTTCGTGGGACCGGAAGAGCGATCGAAAATCCATCTGGGAACTCGACCAGAGACGCATCTACGGCCCGGGATTTAGTGATGTAAACCTCGTCTAGATGACTGGTTTACGAAACGGGAAACGGGGACAGCAACAGCAGTGGATGGGGTTTAGGTGTCATTGGGTTGACAACTGACCAAGGTTACAACGGAAAAAGTGCGTGAATCGGATACAGTTGGTTTTTGGGTTGGTCATTTCAATAAGGACGTAGATGCTATCCGTATTATTACTATTCTATAGGCTGCGGTCTGTAGTCTTTCCTCCCCATAATCTCTTAGTCTTGGTTCACCTACTTCCATCGCGTGCTATTTGATATCGACATTGAACAAGAATTCGTGTAAAGGGGTTGAGAGCACTTAGATGGCTCTCCAAGAGAATCACGTCAGCGTTGTCATGCTACGTTCTTAAAAAAGACGGACTATTAATTTAAATCCGGACAATGATCTACCACTAAAACGCACTTTAAGAGAAGAAGCAAACGAGGTCGTCAGCGCCTATGAACGACGTGGCTGTTCTTATTGGACACCCTGCCGCTCGACGGTGGTGGAGTAGATAGTTTTGGCGGGGTGCATTCACAGACTGACTGGGAGTCCCTGCTCGCTTGTCAACTTTTGGGGGTTGACAATGCGTGTTATTGAGCTTCATTAACATTTTCATGTTCCTCCTGAACTATGTGAATAGGATCACGGAGTACCCCCTTTCTGGGATACCCATTCGAGTAGCCTGCTTGTGTTACCTTACGTCGTACCACGGCATGGGCAAGTGGTACACCGCAAACCAGACTAGATGAATGTTCTGATTGTTTTGTTGGTATGTCCCGTTTTGTAAGGAGGTTTGGTCTGTGGTACTTGGTATTTCCGGAAGAGAGAAACTTGACCGCTCTTGTTGATATTCTTTCTTTTTTTTCTGCGATTACAGCCGTTTGTCAGGTTATCGTTGCGTATCCACACTTGGGCACTTGGACTTTGTTCTCTGGAGCGACAGTCGCAAGTGGGTGACAACGCAGTTTTCCACTCAGCGCATCCGAGAGCCTCTTTCCGCCACCACTATCACCACTATCACCACTACGACAAACTCAAAAAAAATCTTTTGAAACCCTTGTATGAGAACTAACCATACTTTTCACATAGCATATAAATTTGGATATTGAAGAAGTAATGGTTGTGGTGATATGGGTAATCAGAGTATTTCTTAGGATCTATGGCTGGAAAACAGGTTCTGTCAACCACTTTGTAGCCGTTTGCGGGAAACGGCTCGACCGGTCAAAGATTTTGATCCACATGGTTCACCTCTCCAGAGTCCACGACCGACATCCGCGGGCCGGCATCGTGAGCCGTGGGACCCGGTCGAGCTGAGGTTGTCGGGGGTGGAACCGGTGCTCGTGGCGGCCGGTAGACGATGTCTTGCTCAGGTATCTCTTTCCATATAGTACGAAGTAGAAACGTCAATTGGCCCCCCAAACTTACACCCCACACATGAACCATGACACAGTCAGAGGCAGACCTTGAACTTTCCATCCAGCAATCTTGCCTCGTATCTCTTTTGGTCAGCAAGATGCAGCATCTATCTTACTGTCTTATCAAGGTCTTCTGGGAAAAGAAAAAAAGGCACTCGGTGAACCCTCGGCCGGCAGCCACACCGATTAGAAAAACTTCTCCAGGTCGCGCGGGTTGTCCGGTGGGGGTTTCGGCTTCCCGTGCCCCTCCTTTGGTGCCATTTGCCCCGCAAAGTGACATTTCGGCGTCGATTGCGTGCTCTGGCCAAGCCCCACCCCCGTTGCCTAAGTCGGCGCTCTCTTCGCGCAGCTCAGCAACATCACACAGCCAAGCAACCCAAGAGCTCTCACCTCACATCAGCGATTGAGAGAGAGAGAGAGAGAGAGAGAGCCAGCCGTTGCTGCAGCATCGTACAAAGACAAAATGTGACAAGCTCTCGTTTGTCGACGAAAAGCAAACTATTGGACATCTCCCTCGAACCCAATTGGCTATTCAACAAGCTACCTGGTAGCTGGCAGCGGGATTTGGAGGGGTCCTGGTCCCCTCCTCTGCCCCCCATCGGGAATCGATACCTTTGAGGTGTTGCCTTCTCTCTGAGAGGCCGAATGATATTACCTGGTAGACAACTTTTTTTCTTCGGTCCCTGGTGACCCTCCTCGCAAGGCCAAGAGGTCAGTTGTATAGACACACATACGACAGCCCGGCCTATGGTGTGATGTCCCCTCAATGGCATCATCGTAGCTAGCCCTCTTTCTCTGCCTCACTCTTCCCATTGCTGGACAACCACCCCTACCCCTCCCCTCTTCCGTGCTCTTCCTCGCCGTTGAGTACTCCGTTGCCGGCCCGTCTCTTGTGTCTCTCTCTTAAGCGCGTCACCGTCCCCGTTGCTCTTTTCCTCTAATACTGCTCGCACACCTCTAGAGAAAAGCTGTCTTCTTCCCCCCCCCCCTCCTCCTCTCCTCCGTGTCTCCAATTCCTCCCTCTTCCGTAAACAACATTCCTTGCTAAAGAGAAAGTCAAACTTGAACAATGGCTGAAGAATTGAGCAAGAACTTTGAGACCCTCCAGCTCCATGCGGGGTATGTACGCTCTCTTTCACAACACGTTTGCCCACCACCGCCATCAACACTCCAAGCAAACATGCCTCCGGGGAGGGGAAACAACCTTTCCATTGCCCTTGGAGCTTCTCAAGAAACTGACATGTGGAATTGTTGTGTCATTGTAGCCAGGAACCCGACCCGACCACAAACTCGCGCGCTGTCCCCATCTACGCGACCACGGTTCGTAAAACCTTCCCGACGACGACGAATAAACAAGCTCTCTCGTCGCGAGCGCAGGCGCGAACACCATAGGACTGACAGCTAGATTCAACATGTGTAGAGTTTCACCTTCAATGACTCGGCTCACGGCGCGAGGCTCTTTGGCCTCAAGGAGTTTGGCAACATTTACAGCCGTATCATGAACGTACGTCGGACACTTCCTCGACATATTCCATGTTATAGTGTCCAAGTCGATTAACCGTACATCCCACCACTCCAGCCCACAGTCGACGTCTTTGAGAAGCGCATCGCCGCGCTCGAGGGCGGCGTCGCGGCCCTCGCAACCTCCTCGGGCCAGGCCGCCCAGTTCATCGCCATCAACGCCCTCGCGCACGCCGGCGACAACATCGTCTCCACCTCGCTGCTGTACGGCGGCACCTACAACCAGTTCAAGGTCTTCCTCCCCCGCCTCGGCATCCACACAAAGTTTGTCGACGGCGACCGCGTCGAGGATATTGCCGCCGCCATTGACGATAAGACCAAGGCTGTCTACGTCGAGAGCATCGGAAACCCCAAGTACAACGTCCCCGACCTCGAGGCTATTGCCAAGGTTGCGCACGAGAAGGGCGTTCCCGTCATTGTAAGTCCCGCTCTGTCTTCATTGTCGGAGTACCTACCCACACCCGGGGAGCAAGACGGCAGCTAACACCAAAACCCTCAGGTCGACAACACCTTTGGCGCAGGCGGCTACTTCATCCGCCCCATCGACCACGGCGCCGACATCGTAGTCCACTCCGCGACAAAGTGGATCGGCGGCCACGGCACAACCATTGGCGGCGTCATCGTCGACAGCGGCAAGTTCCCCTGGGATAACGGCCGCTTCCCGCAAATGACGGAGCCCTCGGACGGCTACCACGGCCTCAAGTTCTGGGAGACGTTCGGCCCCATCACCTTCATCATCCGCGCCCGCGTCGAGATCCTCCGCGACCTCGGCGCCTCCCTGAACCCCTTTGCCGCCCAGCAGCTCATCATCGGCATCGAGACCCTGTCGCTGCGCGCCGAGCGCCACGCGCAAAACGCCCTCGCGCTCGCGAAGTGGCTCGAGGCGAGCGACTATGTGAGCTGGGTGTCGTACCCCGGTCTCGAGAGCCATCCGTACCACGAGACGGCCAAGAAGTACCTCAAGCGCGGCTTCGGTGGTGTGCTGAGCTTCGGCGTCAAGGGCGGTGGCGATGCCGGTAGCCAGGTTGTCGATGGCTTCAAGCTCATTTCTAACCTCGCCAACGTTGGTGACTCCAAGACCTTGGCTATTCAGTAAGTTTGCGTCCCCTTCACCATGGAGCGAGAGAGTATAACAGAGTTAAGGAGGAGACTGGCTCTCTTCCCTCTTCTCTCGTCTCCACCTTGGGCCAAAAATTGTTGCATCTCGCTAACTGTCGCCACAGCCCCTGGACCACCACCCACGAGCAGCTCTCCGACGAGGAAAAGACGAGCTCCGGCGTCAGCGAGGACCTCATCCGCATCTCGGTCGGCACGGAGCACATTGACGACATCATTGCCGATTTCGAGCAGTCCTTCAAGAACGCCTCCTCCGCCTCCACCACGGGCAAGCCCGCTCCCGCGGCCGAGACCAAGCAGGACGACGCGCCGCTTGCGCCGTAGGTTTCGGCGAGAACATGAGATTGGGTGATGTGTGGTTGCGTCTGGGATGATTTTTTTGCCTTTGTTTATTTCCAAATGTACGAGAACGAAAATACCCGTAGAAAAAGCAACTTACGATTCTTGTCTTACCTTGATTTTCGTCTTGATATTTTGGCTTGCTTGGCGGGCTTGGATGGAGAGAAAAGAGAAGGCCGGAAAAAGAAACGCCATCATGCTTGAAATACCCCTTGATCGTTCCTCGTGCAACATGATCAGAAACACCACAAAGTTTGATCCAGCGTTGCCCAGGCCGCGTCCGACGTCCACTGTAGAGAGGATAGGCAAGGGCAGGGCGTACATCACACGTCCCGCCATACCAGCCATGCCGACCCAAACCACAGAGAAACCATGTAGGCACCAAGGATCAGAAGGAAAATCGGCGGGCACGAGAAATGATCCTCCTGATCCCTGGTGTCCTCCCGCCCATCCTCCGATAAGAAGCAGTGTGCGATCGGCCATTTAGCTCTCCCACCCGTGGCAACTTAAACCGCGCCCCAAAAGCAACGGCAAGCACGCAACGAAATGAAACGTGCCGACGCCACAAATTCCTAGTGGGCGGCGCGCGGTATTTTAGTGTGTTGCTTTGTGGATAAGCAAACCACATGTTGCCGTTGCAATGCGATGGAGACCAAAGTTGACTTGGGCAGCAGATATTCGTTGGAGATATCTGTAGAGGTTGAGATGGAGTCATGAGGTTACTGACTGTTCTACATTTTTTTACAACCCTACGACAACCTCAGAATCGTGGGGACGAGGAAACGTGCGGGATCCCAACGAGGTCTGTGGTTGTAAACCGGCACCGGTGATAGCTCCAATGCAAAGCTGGAATGGGCGGGGGTGGGATGGATGGATGTTCACCGTCTCCACCCTGCCTTCCCCGGGGCGCGGTAGACGACTGGTTTAATCCGCCAACGGAATCTGATTGGCCGAGAGAGGTTCGCCCTTCAACGACGCCTCTTGTCTTGCCTTGTGTGTCTAGTCCATCCCATCCAAGCTCTAATCCCCACGGCGCCGCTCGATTTTAGCTATATCCTCCAACATCCCACCTCGAGAACCTCACGCAAGACCCCCCCGCCCTCTCTCACCGACAAAGCTCCTTTCTCATTCCTTTTGTCACCCCCCCGCTGTTGACTTGTCGTTTACATCTAGACGTCTACCATCCTCCCCCATCGCCAAAGAATCTCTTCCGAACCACCTCGAAAATGCGCCTCCTCACAACCATCGCCCTCGCGGCACCCTTCCTCCTCGACCCGACAGCAGCCGCCTCCCTAACCCTCTCGATCCCCTCCTCCCAAGCCCTGCCCAACCCCTACACCCTCCCGCCCTCAACCCACGCGACGCTCTCCTCCCTCGGCGCCACCTTCTCCGCGCCCCTGTCGGTCAAAAACACGTTCGTCTTCCACAACCTCACCGACAGCAGCGGCTCCTACCTCGTCGACGTCCACTGCGCGACCCACGCTTTCGCGCCGCTGCGGCTCGACGTCGACGCCGAGGGCGGGGTCGCGGCGTGGGAGACGTACCGCGGTAATGATTGGGATAACAAGGGCGAGGCGTACGTGTCCAAGGACTTTGAGGGCGGTGGGAAGGGGTTCGAGGTTAGGGTGTTGGGGCAGAAGAATTATTTTGTGGAGAGGAGCAAGTGTGAGTCTTTTTCTCTTTATATATATATATATATATCCCCCTTTGCCCCCTGTTGTGATTTTTACAGTGTTGGGTTTTGCTCTGTGTTGGCGGCGAGGAAAGCTAAGCTAAGCTCCGGAGCTGTTGGCACTTCCACGACGAGGATCTCTGCTCTCGAGAGATCTCAAACCGATTGGAGAGTATAGAAACGCTAACGATGAACTTCACACAGTCTCCATCCTCACCATCCTCAAGAACCCCATGATCCTCCTCGGCCTCATCAGCATGGGCATCTTCCTCGGCATGCCCTACCTCATGGACAACAGTACGTCTAACCCAAACTTCTCCCCTCTCCCTCTCCCCCGTTTCACTCGGAACCATCTTTCTCAAGAACCGAATTTCTAACTCTGGAAAAACAATAGTGGACCCCGAAATGCGCGCCGAATTTGAAGAACGCCAAAAGAGCAACCCAATGAACTCACTCCTCGGCGGCGGCGGCGGCGGAGGCGGCGACGCGAACCCCATGGCCAACTTTGACATGGCGGGCTTCCTCGCTGGTACCGGTAGCAGCAGCAAGAAGGAAGAGTCCTCCGGTTCCGGGTCCGGTGCCTCGGGCGGTGGTGCCGGTGGTAAGAAGGAGAAGGGCGTGCGGAGGTGAGACTGTGAGCAGGCGAGATAATCCCAACGGTGTTCAAGATTGTTATCACGGCTTCCTATGGAGATATAGAATTCTAAGCTACGGCGCTTCTTAAAAAACTACAATTCCCTATAAACAAGTTTTTACCAAATTGCATGAGCCAAGGATGTCGGAAGTTCTCATGTGCTGCCGCTAATGCTTCTCTCCGTGGCACTGGGTTGCTATAATCATATGTACCTTATACCTACCCCAGGCAATTCCCCGCCCATCACCCAAGGATATATATTCCATCCCCAACACCCGTTCCTGTCACCAGCACAGCAGGCGCCTGTCTAGATCGGCGGGTCAGGTCAGAACTGTGTGCGAGATGGTCGAGTTGATCAGAATAAAAAGCAATACTCCAATGAAGTCAGAGTGCGGGTTGACTAAGGGTTACACTATTCGATTCGTTATAAGATTAGTTACCCGCCCTCCTTCCTCCCTTTCCTTTGGGATTTTTTCTACTGCTGATAGTAGGATTAAGATTGGACCTCATAGACTTGTCGTCATGTGGGCTGCTACATCAAGGTATTCGCAGGAAAAGCAACGAGACAAGATGTTCAAATATAACGGGGCTCTGTTTTCCCATGAGAAGAACGCATATTAGACGCAGATTCATGCCCCCTGAAACCCGCCCTTGTCAATTCCCTTACCCGCCAACCCTTCTCTCATGATCCATTTAGTACGTCAATATCAGCTGGCCGTAATCTAGTGCCAGCCCACTTAGAAGTCACCTCCAAAGTCGTCACCGCCGCCGAAATCATCTCCGTCATTTCCGTCGTCTGTACCGATGTTAGCGACTGGTCACATATCAAACCGGGATCCAAAGATTGTAACTCACTGTATCCATCAGCGTACGCCTCCTGCTGCTCATCATTGATGTGATCCGCAATCAACGCACCACCAAGCAGACCGGCACCGGCACCGAGCGCCATACCGCCCGCCATGCCCATGCCGCCGCCGCCGGGTTTCCGACCGCCGCCGCTCATTCCACCCATACCGCCCATGCCCTGGCCGTAGCCCTGCTGTTGAGGATATCCGCCATAGCCCTGCTGAGGCGGATAACCGCCGTACTGCTGCTGCTGGGGGTAACCACCGTAACCTTGCTGCTGAGGCGGGTAGCCGCCGTATCCTTGCTGCTGAGGGTACCCTCCGTACTGCGGCTGCGCGTGGCTCGAGCCGCCCATGCCGCCCATGCCGCCCATGCCGCCCGTCTTGGCCTTGCCGAGCAGCTTGCCCAAGAAGCCGCCGGAGCTGCTCTTTCCTCTCGTGTCCTGCGCGCGGGGCGGGAGCTGGTCGGGGAACGGCGACTGCGACTGCTGATGTTGCTGCTGCTGGAGGTTGTAGCCCGGGGGCCCGCCACCGCCGCCGCCGCCGCTGCGGGCGCGGGCTTCTTCCTCGGCCTGGAGCTGGCGGGCTAGGCGCTCGTCTTCGGACATTGCGTTGGAGCCGCCGGCGCCGGGCGGCTGAGGGGTCGAGGACTGGTTCTCGAAGGGGTTGCCCTTTTGGTCGTAGGGATTGTGCTTTTGATCGACCGGCGGCGTCGGGTGGTCGCCGGGGCGCGGGGCGTAACCCGGAGGGGGGCCGCCCGGGTGCCCATCTTCTGCTGGTGGGGGAGGGGGAGGGAGGGCAGGCTCCGTTGGCTTATCCCATTGGGATTGCTTGGTGTGGAGGTTTACGTAGAACCTGGAGTGTGTTTATTAGTATTCGGCCAGCATAATGAAGAGAGGCAGGTGAATAGTTGGGCGGCGAGGTCTCGACTTACCATTCTTTGTACTGGTCGTTCCAGCGAGCGATCCAGCCTGGAGGGACCTCGGGGGCCTTGGGAGGCGGAGGACCCGACGGGGGAGCGAAATTGTCGTCCATGTGTAGTGAAGTTGGGCGCAGAGGGCGTTACTACTATGTAAATGCGATTAGAACCTCTCGGTGGTATGAGGCCTTTCAATCAATCGATGTGGTCTGAGGTAAATTGTTTGGTGTAGGTGAATCAGTTGTAGACGAGGCGTGTATGCGTGTGTGAGTGAACAACAGTTTCCGAGTTTCCACAGCTACCTCTTTTCAGACAATTAAAGAATCTTTGGAGAGGGAAAAAGACACCAAAGTTTTGAGGTTGGGATGAGTGGGATTTTGGGGGAAGGGGAGAGAGGGAAAGGAACTTATTGCCTCCTACCTCTTACCTCGGGGTGTCAGGTGTTGTAGTGGGGAGGCGCAATAGGTTCGACTTGAGTCTGGAGCTGGGCGCGGAGGGCCGGGGATTACGTCTTTCAGTTTTGGAACGGTTCCCTCTCCCCCCCCTCCTCTAGCTAAACGGAGGGAACTTGTACCGCGCAACCAATGGCACCCCGACGTTTCCGCTGCTCCCGCTGTCCAGAGGCACCTTGGCGGTGGATTTAGAGGGATCGGGGAAGTAACTGCTGAACGAGGCTTCGTGTCTTCACTCACTAAACCTAGCATCTTCTGGAACAGTACAGAGAGTATTGAGATAATAGTCGCTGCCGTCGTGCTACCTACGAAATGACGTGCTATAGACCAAACTCGGATAGAGGCAAAGGGTACGGATATCTGACAAGTACGTAAGGTAAGGTAGATCACAACCGCCTCTAGTTCGATTCGATCTCGCTTCTCGAAGCTGCTCTCACTGCCCTACTCCATACTTGTGCCTATCTTGCCTCTCCCAGTCCAGTCCTATCCTGCGGGTTCCGTCTTGGCTATGCTGCAACAGCATGATGCGAGCTGCTGCTGCGAGCTGCAAAGCACAGCCCCTCACGCCGCCGCCCCTCACCTTCTGGCCTGTCGCTTTCCCACTGTGACCCGGGATGCCGGAGAGCCGATACGCAAGGCAAGGTATCTGACAAGTCCCTTTACAACGTAAAACAAGCTTTCTTATACCCCAACAGTACTCCTCCCGTCTGCAGTAAAACCGAATCCCCCCCCCTCCAAAAAAGCTACCTCAGGTCGAACTGGAAACGTCTCGCACAGGCCCGTCACCCGTGGAGCTTGAAGGTACCCAGTAGTTTGACACCCCTCCGCTTCAGTCTTCATACCTTGCTTGATACGCATATTCAAAGTTGAATGAGTGGCAAACAAGTCAGCTATTCACGACGCACAAAGATTGTGGCTGGTGTCCTTTTGCCCTCGTAATGCAAATCCAACCTCGGGTCGTGATACTCCTCCATCCCGAAGGACAAAAGCAAGAGGCCAACAATCACCCGCGACAAGAAAGCCACGCCGCACTCCGCCCTCTGCGCCAAGGCGAGCCCATTCCCCCCCATTCCACTCTCTTTCCAAACGGAACCACTCCTCTCGGGCGAAAGAGAGTGACCGTTGACATTGCGAAGACACCTGTGGCGCAGCGTATCCCGGATCCTTGGCACTGTCACTTTCCCGCCGCCACTTCATCAACTCACTCATATACACAAAAAACGCCATAGCTCGGTCATGAAGTGTGCTCAGCATGTCATGAGACTAGGCACCTAGGTAGGTAATACCATCAAAAAGCTCCATCGAATAAGGGCCTACCCTGAGGCGTCTATCCCATCTAGACATATAAGCACGCTAGCGCAGGCAAAACTCCTCGTTCCTCACAAGTATACAATTTCTCCAAAGTGCTGTAACAAGCAAGATCAACAACTACAGGTAAACGTAAGTAAACCTAACTCATGGTAAACCCCTCTCGTCCCGTCTTCTCTCTCCAAAGAGGTACGCCGCCTCCATGCAGTAGGCGCCGCCTCCGCTAGCCATCCGCCGTTCGCTGCCGTAGCAGATGACAACCGCGTCCAGAATACCGCTGAGAATGCCTTCCATGGCGCCCATGACCGAAAACCCAATGAAACTGGCTACTATGCCAACCACATATGCGTACGCCGAGCCCCGTACCCCCATTCCGTCCGGCAGAGCGATAGAGAGCTGCTTCGCCGTCATGACCCATCCAGCAAAACCGAGTCCCGTTGCCATGATAAACCGTGTCGCGTACAAAAGCATCTTTGCGAGCCGATAAGGAAGCAAAGGGGAGTGACTGGACCGCCGTGTGCTGAACACTTGCGGTGTCAGTGTTGTCGTAGGACGTTGCGGGGACAAGAAATCCATCTGGCTGAGACCGCGAGCCGCCGTGTGGAGCTTCTGCGAGTGAATCGCTCCGTACGTGATGGTGAGAGGGTTCGTGAGCGCTGCGATGGGCGTCGGAATCCACATGGCAGCAATGTGCTGCAGGATATTAGCAAACCTGCGTGGCAGCACGAGCAGCGGCGCCCGAATAAGCAGCGCAATCAACGTCGACTCGCAGATGCTGCCAAAGATGGTCGTCGTCGCGTGGTTAAGCGCAGCCGTGACAATCTCCGCCGACGTTGGGGCCGGTGCCGCGTTGCGGTGGAAGTACCATTGGGACACTGTCGCTGCCGTGGTCGCCCGTTGCACCGCGTTAATGACTCCGATTGTCCACATGTACATCAACACGAACCAGATGCCCAGCCACCAGCTAGACACGCTGATGATGAACCGGGCGAGTCTTCTAGAGAAGTACCCTCCCAAGAAGATTCTCGAGAACATCCACATCCAGACCCAGGTCCACGTTACTATGATCGCGAGACAGCTGAAACCCAAGATGAGGAGTGCCGTATTTGCTGCAAGAATTCTTGTAGAGAACTCCAGTATCTCAATCGCCTGACGGATGGCATTGCGGCCCTTCCAAGCCATGTACACCCATACACAGGCTGAGATGGCGGGGACGAGAGCAGCCCATCGCATGGCCCGATCCTGGAAGCTGGTCCCATGTGATCTGCCCTCATAGCTGGAAATGAAGGGGTATAGTGTGAATGAAAACATGATGATGGGTACCGCAACAAGGATCACCAACGCCAGCGGCCGGGCAAAGGATCGAAGTGCCGCGAGCCACACAAAGGATACTATGATCGAAATCAGGGTATCCACGGCGAGCATGTGAAAGGATGCTTGTAATGTTGTGTAGACGGTGTCACCCCATCCTTTCTTGGGTGTGCCAGTATGTAGCCAGACAAGCACAAAGGTAGACACCAGACCGGCGAGCGCAATAAGGAAGATCCAGGCGAAGAACGGGTCGTACTTGAATATCTCTCCTTCAACCAGGGGAACAGTGGCAGGCAGGGCCTCATCGTCGGAGCTGGCCCGGCGGGCCTCGTCAAAGTCATCTTCTCGAGTAGCTTCCCTTGTCAGTGGGAACTTTCGGTCTCCGGACTTGGATTGGAACTTCTGGAAGGCGGGCGGGCTCGAGTCCGTAGGCGCCTCGTTCAGCAGCGACGCAGACGGGTCGTCGTCGTCGTCAATAATTTGGGAATCTAGCCCGATGTCGACCATTTTAGGATTCGTATCTGACTCCCGGTCGGAATTTTCTCGCGGGGCATCCTCCGACTCTTCGTCTATAACATCCCTCCCACGATTCCGTCCACTGAAGCTCCTCGTACCATTCCAACTGCTGCGAATACCTCTCCGCAGCCCGCGATCCTGGTATCTTCGGCCGGGTGTTTCGCTGCTCTGTTCCAGCGAGCCGCGGCTAGCGTCTGGTTCCGTCTCGGAGCTCTCTGCCATCTTGCTCGCAGCGGCCACGCGCCGAGACATGTGGAGGGCGGCCATATCCGCAGCCTCGCGATCCCTCTCGTCTTCTTCGTCCTCCTCCATGTACTCGTCGAGCGTGCTATGGAACAGCGGCGCATCCTGGGCGGTGGACATGCGGGAAGCGAAGCCCATTTGGCCGTAACGCGAACCGCCGCCCGGCTGGTAGGGGTTTCCTCCGTAGCCTCTACCTAGGAAGGAGCGTCCGCCATTTCGAGGAGGGGCCCGCGATGACCAGTCGTTCGGTTGTCGTGATGGGTTCTCGTTGCCTTGATCTTGGCCCGCAAAGTTGGAGAGTCGGGACTGTGATTGCGCCAGAAACCTGGACGCATCTGGGGGAGAGTTAGTTGGTTGACCGCCGCCGCTGGGCGTCGCCGGGGGTGGTTCCCCAGCGGTGTATGAGACTTACATTCCGAGAACATGGTGCTACCGATAGCGAGGACCTTGTCCCCTCAGAAAAAGTTCGCGTGCTCTTGGGAGGTGGCAGGACAGGAACGCGGGACGACGGGGCAGATAAGTGTCGGGTTGGTGAAGATCCTATGAATGATGATGACGGACAAAGAGTAAACGGCTGGAATGTTTTGGATGCCGGCGGCGGCGGTGGACACTAATGGTATACGCAAACAGAAAGAGACGGGTCGACGGCAGTTCCTGCGGGACGCCTATTCTTGGACCGGAGAGAGTGCCACCTTTGGGTAGGAACAATATTTCTGATCAAGCCCGGAGTGCTCGTGAGAAGGGCATCTGCACCAGGTTCTGGGAAAAGATATGAATCAAAGGTCATGCGGTACAGACGAAGAGGTGAAAGGTGCCTGGGCCGGTGAGTGACTGACTGATGGAAGTGGACCGGGCCAGTGAGGGAACTGGGAGAGTACATGGATGACCGGGGGCGGCGCCTTCTGGGGTGCCCGTGGAAATCCCACCCAAGGTACCTTAGGTAACGCAAGGCTTTACCCGCCTGTTACTGTTAGGCAGCGCGGACGCTGATGCAGCCTAAGCAGTGGCACACAGATGGCACACGACACCCGCGACACCGCCCACACCACAACCACAAGGTACCTTTCACCTGGGAACCCTTCCTGCCGGGTACCTACCTCACTAACAACCCAGCCACTCATAACGTCGATACCCGGGGAGGCAGGGGGCCACCCACGGGCTGCGGCCGGCACTCATCGGACTTATCGTGGTGGGCGATAAGGCGGTAAGTTGGCGGATGCATTGCAGCATTGCAGCATTGAGGGCCCGGATTGCCTGAGATGGCATGGCTGCGGGTTGGCGGGTTCCTCCCAGTTCCATGTTCGCCTTGATTTGGGAACTCCGAGAAGCGCATACAGCATCAACCCAAGGGAAAACCTACATGAAGCTGGAGCACGCATCTTGCCTTTCACTGCGGTTGATACATGGCACCTGCTCCCCTTACCCAGTGGAGTGCGTCACAGTCACTTATGCCCGCCGTCTTCTATACCTATACGGAATACTATGAGATTCCGAGGACTCTTCAATACATACTGCTTCCTGCATGGCACTGACATGTCCTGGCGCGAGACCGGCAACTAAGAAAGCACTTGGCCCGGTTTAACCCCCGTTTCCGAGTCATTCATTCAGTCTTGGGTAAGTCAGTCATTTCCCCAATCATCGTCAACTGACGCCGTTGTTGTTTGCTGCCGCTACGTACTTTACCACCTTACTCTGCGCAAACAAGCGCCTCAGATCCCGTCGCCTTATCACTAAGCACTTGCGTCACTGATAACACCATGCCAAATCCCTGCCGCCAGATTCCCTGGTCATCGGTCCAGTTTAAATTGGGGCTCTGTCGTCTTCTTAGGCCTAGCCTGTGACAAGGGGGGGCGCCATCTTAAACACTGGCCAGCGTGATGCAACTCGCCCATTTCTTGCAGAGCAGCACATTTCCACCTCCGATTCCACCTCTCAGAGAGCCTTTAGAAGGTTGTTCGCACAACCCAATCTAGAGGTCATCTTCCGCTTGGATAAAGGAGAGGTCGCCATCAAGTCATCTCCCAGGCTCAAACATCATTTCTCGGGAACCACGCGGACACCGAACATTGAGAACAGACGACATCCCTTCTGTTGCCAACCGTTTCTGAACATCCCGCTCATTCGTCTGTCTCCCTCAATCGGAGCCGAAGCAGCCCCCCAGTGCCCAGTGCCCCCCCCTTGTCAGACGTGAACTTCTGAGCACGTGCTCCGATAACCTACAGCTGTTTGAAGCTTTCCAACATCAGACCAACCAACAACCACCATCACCACCACCACCACCACTGCTGCTGCTAACCACACCATACACGGTCCCCTTCCAATCCACCTCTTCGAAACCATCCATCACCAGCAGAAACGATCTCGCGGGCCAGCCGAGAGAGACAATCGAAAGGGAAAAAAAGCACAGCTATCTATCTGGTTCATCAAAGTCACGGAACCGAAACCACAGACCTCTGCATCGAACCTCGTCGCTCACACGCACATACTTCCCTCCTCCTCCTCCCGCCTCACACACAAAAAAAGCCACAGACTCGCAAAGGGCCATGTCGTCTCCACCATGGGACTACATCGCTAAACTCGTCTGCATCGGCGACTCGGGCTGCGGCAAATCCTCCCTAACCATCCGCCTCTGCGAAGGCCGCTTCTCCCCGCACCACGACGTGACAATCGGCGTCGAATTCGGCTCCCGCATCGTCCCCGTCGGTCCCCCAAACACCCTGCCCCCTCCCCCGCCCGCCCCCGAACCAAAGACGAACCCAGACGGCAGCACAACCTCCACCGGCCTCCCCGATCCCCCGCGAATCTCCCCTTCTTCAGCTGCCGCAGACGGGCCCCAGAAGCACATGAAGCTCTCCCTCTGGGACACCGCCGGCCAGGAAACATACAAATCCGTCACGCGCTCCTACTTCCGCGGCGCCAGCGGCGCCCTCCTCGTCTTCGACCTCAGCCGCAAGCAAACCTTCCAGCACGTGACCGATTGGCTCAACGACCTGCGCCAGATCGCCGAGCCGGACATCGTCGTCATCCTCGTCGGCAATAAAGCCGACCTCACTCAGGGTGACGGCGACAACAAGCGCGAGGTGACAAAGGAGGAGGCCGAGGAGTGGGCCAAGAAGAACGGCGTCTTTGAGTACGTCGAGACGAGCGCAAAGAGCGGCGAGAATGTCGAAAGGGCCTTTATGCGCGTCGCTGAGAGGATATACAATAACATCCAGGCCGGGAAATATGACCTCAACGACAGGAGGTCTGGTGTCAAGGGGCCGAGTGCCGGGGGGAATAAGCAAGTGAGAATAGGGGGCGACGCGAATAAGGGCTCCGGCGGCGGCTGTTGTTAGATAAAGCCGGCAGCAGGAAGCAACCAAAAAGCATACACGATAAGGACAGTGATACCCAGAGGCCATTAGCAGCAGTTTTCTTCTTCCTTCTTTCGCATTCAACCCACTTTGTACTACTACTTTTTTTGTAATTATAATGTATGGTCAATGGGCAGGTCAACTCACGACGAGAAGAAATAGTAGGAACAAGGAACAGATTTCATATTGCATTATGTACGGAAGTTGTGTATCCCGTCAACTTGCGCTTCCCCAAGCTCGAAAGGCCCATCTTGCCACCGTTTTTATCGCCCATATCCTTACAGAGAGAGTTGGGTAGAAAAGCCGAGTCATGGATCTCGGCCGTTCAAGTACAGGATTCCCGTGGGAGGAATCATTCTAATACAACCTTGGCATCGGTGGTAAATCGTCAGATTTAGTCAGAGATTCTCCAGCTGTCGAACCACTTCAAGTAGCTGTACTGCTTGTTGTTGCCCGTCATGCCGAAGCAGATGGGGCTGAAGAGGATGTAGAGACCGATAATGGTGGCGTACAGGACGCCGTACACGCCGTACTGGAAGACCTGGTTCTTGTTGCGGAGGAACCAGTCGGCCAAGAAGCCGAAAGTAAGGATGGCGAAGTACAGCGCAGGGTAGTAGTGGTGAACGTAGGTGACACGGGCCATGACGACGAAGGGGAGGTAGTGAAGGAACCAGCCGGCCACGGGGTACAATCCCGCGTAGTGGATCTGGTCAATCTCCTTCGAGTTCAAATCGTTGAAGCCGCGCTGCCAGCGGATCAAGTACCAGACGATGACAAGCGCGAAGACGCCCAGGCCGGCGGTGGAGCCCCAGTAGACCAGAGGATTACCGAGGAGGAAGTACTTGACAATGTTGTCGTCCCAGCCACACATGCGCAGACCAACGTTGAGGATGGGCCACTGCCACCATTGAGAGGCGAGGTCGTCTTGTTTGTCGGGATCGGGCACAAGGGCGTTGTTGGAGGTCATCATGGCAACGTTGAGGTGGATGAAGTCGTGAAGGAAGGGGGACTTGTAAGAGCCAGGGTCGCCAGGGGGCACTGTGCCAGTTAGCAGGCTGAGCAAGACACACGGAGTTTATAGCTTCAACTTACGCTTCTCGTTCCAGTGGGCCTCCACGTTCCAGTGGGTGTACGAGTCTCTGGGGTTGTTGGCCTTGGTGCAGGTCACCTCAATCTGCTTGAAACCCCACTGAGGCAGATTGACGTTGCCAGCGCGGAGGTAGCAGCCAAGAACGGGGTGTCTCAAGCGGAATGCCGTCGTTAGAGTGCGAATTCTGCTGCGGTCACGGGAGGCAACATCACGAACGACCTCCACAGTCCAGTGGTCCTTGTCGTCGCCAATAGTCAAGTTGCCGTAGCTGGAAACTTCCTTATCGGCCTTGGTCATGGGAGCAGCGATCTCGTGGGAGTGAAGGTTGCGGCCCGTCTGGGCGTGGATGAGACGGATCGTCTCGCCGTCGCCGATGAATCGGGGAGGAGCTTCGGGGTCGTAGTCCGCGTCGGCACGGTTGGGGTAGAAGAACCAGTCGTTGTTGGCATCCTTGTGGTGGTAGCATGTGACCTGCTGCTGAGTAGAGCCCTCGGGGTAGGTCTGGACGTGGGAGTGCAGGAGGCCACCGCCGTATCCCATGTTCTTGATGGTCGCGCGCGATCCGTAGGCGACTTCCAAGGGGCTGTTCTTGCCGACCTCGGTGCCCTTCAAGTTTGCCTGGAACAAGGAGCTCATTTGCGCATCGCCGGGACCGGTGTGGTCGAGAATGGCGAAGTGGAGGGCGAAAGAGAGCATGTAGACCAGGAAGGGGATGATGATGAGGCCAACGACGCGGGTGACAACGTGAGCGCCCAGTGTCGTAACGGGCATCTTAGTGTTGCCGAACTTGATCCAGAGATCCTCAATGGTGTAGAGGCCGACGAGGGAGGTGACGAAAAGACCGACGAGCTTGACACTGCACACACAGCCAATGCTGAGGCCAGTCATGAACAGCCAGAAGAACCACTCGGGCTCGAAAGCATCGTTGCGCTGGTTGTGGAACTTGGCCCAGCAGAGAACAGTCGCGACAGTACCGAAAAGCAGCATCGAGTCGAGAAGGATGAAGCGGCTGATGGTTGTGTACGAGTTCTCGCAAAGGACCATGAGGGTAACCAGCCAGACGGCGGGACGTCTGAGGTTCAGCTCGCGGGCAGTGTAGTAGGCCATGGGAATGCAGAGGATGCCGAAGAGGGCGTTGAAAGCTCTCATGAAGGTGTAGTCGACGTCCTCGGGGTATTTCTCTCCGGACTTGAACTCGAAAGATCCGTTGTAGCCAGCGAGAACACCGGAGAGGCCAACAAGCATCTTGCCCAAGGGCGGGTGAACATCGAAGTAGTATTCATGCTTGATGTAGTGACTTCCGAACTTTCCAAAGTGAGCCTCGTCCCAGGTAACAATGTCGCTGATGCCAATTCTCCAGAGCCGGGTGAAGATGGCAACGGCCGTGAAGATGATGGGGGCGATGATGGGTTCCCAGTCATCGAGGAAGGAGCTCTGCTGGGAAAAAGATGAAGTATCAGTATCTAAGCAGGTCTAGGAAAGCTTGGGCTACTGTAGAGGGAGGCGCTTACCTTCTTGACAATCTTCTTCTTGTCGTCGATTTCAGGGGCAGCCGTTATGGGAACTGACTGGCCCTGGGGGACGGCTCGTCGTCTGACGCCATCGCCCACGTCCGCGCCGGACGCGACAATGGGCTTTTCTGTAGCCATGGCTGTTGGTGAGACCAGTCAGCAAACGGAAAGGCGGCGTATGGAATGGGTTGGGCGGGAGTAGAGACTGACTCTCGAAACGGGATAACCGAATGCGTTGATGAAGGCAGCTTCAAAGGGGGTGTGTGCAGGAAGAGTGAGAGTCAAGCTCCAAGAACAGGAGCTCTGAGCTCCTCGTTAGTGATCGGACGAGTCAAGACTCAAAAAAACGCCCGGGGGCCAAAGAGAAAAAAGTTGGAGAATTGAAGAAGGTAAAAAGAGAAGCCGCGCAAAAAGAGAATCAGCGGGTTTCTCTTGAGGCACAGGTGTTCCGCAAACCAAACCAGCTCATCAAGAAAGAAGGTGAGGTCAGTCAGCTTGGGGGGAAGGAGAGAAAGGGAAAGCTGAAAAAGGGCACTTTGAATTACCAGGGAATCATGCAATTAATATGGAGGCGGAACGGGAGAGTGGCAGAGTGCCCTTTGGCCAGGTGGGAATTTTTTTGGTGAGGTCTGTACTAAATCGGGAGGAGCTGGGCAGCTGGGAAGGAGCACCCTTCCACCCTTTGGAACCCCCTTGCGGCAACACGAAATAAATGCCACCTATGCACCAACAGACACGGTATCCCTCCCTTTCCACTCCTTCCAGACTGCGCGAGACCCCGACCACTCTTTACGCGAATCTCGTCCCTGGGTTCAATGGCCTTGATCTATTGGTTCAGCTACTCTTAAGTGGTCTCTAAGCGGGTGGCATAGGCTGCATATCTTGAGCAGGCCGCGCAGGTCCTCTCGATGGAATGGCCTGAATGGCCCGGGAAGGACCCTAAATAGCCCCTCCGTTACCCCCTGCCCCCACAGGCTACAGCTGCCTACCAGGTACTGAGCGCGGATGGATACCTTACCCCCTGAGGTCCTACAGATGGCATCCCCACGCGGCTCTCACTCTTCGACGATCATAGTCAAATGTCAATGGAACCTGGATTTCTCGCTCCCACCTTACCCTCACCTTGCGTCTCGCTATATTCGATCCTGACGTCGTGACATTCAAGACTACGGATATATCATACATCTACCTACCTCCCTTGCAAGGTAACATTTACGACCATAAAACTTACCTTACATACGGATACAGAGCAGCATCATCTCCAGCCTGGCTTCCAAAGCAAGCAACTTATGCAGCTTGGACGCACCTGCAGCCACCTGATGAGGCGTCCATTATCTTCCACAACTGCAATGCTAGCGGCATGCCAAAGACCAGACGACGCGACACAATTCATCCTTTTTTTTTTTTTTTCATGGAAAAAACACACAGGCCACATCCACGAAAGATGCAACTGCACAATGTCTTGTCTTCATGGCAGCTGTGGCTCAGCCATGGTTTCCGACTGCGCTAACCCTTCCGGGCCGCGCGATGACCCCCCGCTTTCGGAGCTAACCGGAAATGCCAGTGCGCATCCTCCAGTCAATCCCGTCGGCCTAGAGAAGGACACCACCGGCCGCGGTGTGGACTCCATCTCGGCGATTCGGGGAGTCCACGGCGGTGGAGGCCTGCGCCGTGCAGGTCGCAGATGCGGTGGTTATCCAGTACGGAGTACCTGAAGCAGTATCCGGAGACCACAGCTACACAGGAGGCTACCCTCATGAATCTCTACAACCCGAATGAGAGAGTCTTCTTACTTTTTCTGTCTTGTATGGCGGTGCGCAAAGCCTCCAACAACACAGGTACTTCTCACCCAAAGAAGTAAAGACCTGGTAGACCTGATTTGTTGCCAGGAGTCGCCATCGTTGTGTTTCTTCAGAGAACGAAAAAAGGGGTTGCGTTCACCTCAGACACTGGGCCTGTCGCCAACCTAAGGTACCTTAAGGTAAGATAACTCACCATCGCCTGGGCGCGGCTCATCTGCCCCGCCGAGTCAAGCCTCTCTCTCACTCTGCAACATGCTGAAGCCCGCATGCGGAAACGCTAGACAGCTGCATCACATGTCTTTTTTCGTCCCTACTCTCGTCCACTCCGTGCTGTTTCCCCCCTCCTTGGCTGGTCCCGGTCTGATCCATATCGGCACAGACAATCGTTGCTAACAATCGCCCCATTGCGGTGCAGATGTTCAGGTCCCAGAGACTCTCCGACACCTGATCTGGACTCAAATCAAGCCTCAGGTTTTTCTTTCAGAAATCTCTTTCAGAAAAGTAAACCCCCACTGCGTCCACCATTCTGAACCGTCTCCGCCGACGCCGCCGACGACTCAAGAGACAGAGCGGATTGCA